ATGCTCAAAAAATTTCATCAAAAAATTCCACCGGGAAGTTGCCCAAACGGGCTCGGCCGGACGGGGCAGCCCGTCAGGCCGGCCTGACATGAAGATTTGTCTATATATATATATATATAGCATTATATTATACTCAGTAATAATATTGTCATTATTATAACAATTGTTACAATTACTCGTATTTTATTAGTACTAGTATTATTATGGTTCACCCAGGCCGACCCACTTTATACGTCTTGCTTTTCATTTTCTATTGTCATAATATAAGTTCATATTTTCTCTTTTGAAAGGAGATGTGTGGTCCACATCATTTCATTGAAACCTCGACCAGAACATGTATATTTTCAACCATTTTATTAAAGCAGTTTTCTTACAAAAATATTACTAAAATAAGACTTATTTACACAAATATGACTATTAGTTACTACAATGTAATGTCATAGTAACGTAAGTTTAAAATTGAACATAAGTTACTATGATTTCATTACTGTTCTAGTCACTAATCACATTTTTGTAAACGTTCTTCATTTTAGTCATAAATATGTAATACGGAATAATATACTCCGTATAATAATTAAATACAGCTACCACGTTACGACAATTACATTATTAATTATTAATTACTATTATTATTCCTCTATATTATTACTATTCTATTATTATTATTACTACTATTATTACGCAATATAATAATTACTTTCATAAAAGTACGGAGTAAACCATTAGTATTTTCAATATTAATATTTTAATTACTAATAATGTATACCTCATATTTATGTTATATTGAAAAAGAATAATGTTACAAGAAAACACAATGATGTACTCGTACATAATTGGATAATCTTATGGAAATGCACATGAATTAGACATCATGACCCATACTAATTAATGTATTTCTTGTGTCTTTTAATTGTCTTTAATCTTTGTGATGAGTTTGATATGATATGGTCCGACCGATGTGAGCCATCTACCATGAATTTATAACATCGATACTGATGGAGGACTAAAGTTTAAATTACACTAGAAGAGGACTACCGATTGAACATTGAACTCACTAATAATCCTTGGAAGATTATGAAGACAGTTTGATCAGAGATTCTACTCCCCGATGATGATTACACCCACTAATATCAAACAGATTAAACGGATCGGATGAAATTAGTTTATGCACAATTGCACATGGTATCAAATATAGATCTTGTTTGGTGAGAGACGGTACGCAGGAACTAGCTTAGGATTAGTAGGTCAGATGCGCACAAAAAAAATACCTGAATAACACAAATTCAACATGATTGATTGATGATTTCATGCAAAATTTGACATCGATTAAACCTTTATGAATTTTTGTGAATCCCCACCAACAATTCTTGTGTGCTTATCTCTTGTTTTGTTTGTAGTGGGATATGATGTACAGTCTTTACATTAAGCCCCTCCCATTCAAATTTATTACGTAGTATATATCACTACAAAAGAATATCGATATTGCGACGGAAGTTTAGCAACGGATAAAACTGTGAGTCATTAGCGACGGAATTACCTACGGTATATCAACGGTTTGGTTATCAACGGAGTTACCAACGGAGAACTATAACACGACGAAATAATCACATGTTTTGCAATTTGGTTCTTCCTGAAAAAATAAATGGCCGGTTATGGATAGTTATGCCAAAATACCTAATTCGATTCCACAAGTTATATAGATTTCCTTAACTTTTTTGACAAAAATTCTACCACATCATAAAACGTCCTCATACCCAACTTTCAGTTACTTTTTTTTATATTGTCTCATACTACATTCATCCCAAAAAGATTGACCGATTTGACTTTTCTTGGTCAATAGTATTAATGTTTAGACATTGATTTTAGGTATTATTATACTACCTTCTTCCCTAAAACAACTTCTCAATTTTTTTTATTTAGATGTCCCTAATTTAACTTCTGACTTCCTTTAATGACAAATTATCTACATCAAAACAGTGCAAAACAGTAAAATTTACCCCTAATAAGTTTATTTCCTTAATATGTGTGTATCAAACCGGGAAGTTGTTTTAGGGATGGATGAAGTATTTGTGTGTAATTTATAAATTATACTCCCCCCGTCCCGGAAAATTGTTCCCGGTTTCCTTTTTGGGCCGTCTCAAAAATTTGTTCCACTTTCCCATTTTGGAAAGTTTTTTGTGGCTACAATTCATTTACCTTTTTCTTACTCAACCACAACCATACATTTCCACTTTATTCTCACTTTCTTAAACTCCGTTCCAAGTCAATGAGGGAACAATTTTCCGGGACAGAGGGAGTACTTTTATGAAAGATTTTTTGTATAAAGAATAAGCTCATACGGAGTATAATTTTCATATTTGAGATAATTTTATATTAAAAGATATCATTGGTCAAACTTGACCATTATTGACCAAGAAAAGTCAAATTGGTCAACCTTTTTGGAGGAAAGTGACTACTCCCTCCGTCCCATTGGACTTTGCAAACTTTCTCTCATTGGTTGTCCCAAAAAACTTTGTCATTTTTCTAATAAAGCAACTAATTTGTGGTTCTGCACATTTCTTTCTCCTCTGCATAAATTTTCAAACACAGAACTTTTACTTTTGTTATTTCCTACTAAAGTGGGACTCAGGTAGTATGATACTCCGTAGTTGTCAGTTGGCAGTTCATCGCTTTCAACATCTCAGATGGATGACAGTTCATCGCTTTCTTTTGATTTTTGTTTGGCTTTTAAAAAGTTACCCGACTTTAAAAACAAAAGTAATTTGTAAATTCTCGTAATTGTTGCTTCGTAAGAAGTTGCGACTTACCGGTGGGCGTAGCTCAACTGGTAGCGAGGGAGTGCCACAAGGGTTAGGTCTCGGGTTCGAATCCCGGCAACTACGATGAGGGGTTACTATGCTGAAAAATGCATAGGGCCTCTGTAAGTACCGGGGACAGAGCCCCACTCTCTATCTGTCAGATTGTGATTATAGTCCAATTTACATCCTCCCATCGTGTCGTCCGGTCGGTGTTGGGGGGCCCTCAGGGATGGGGTGTCATCCTTTTTTTTTTTTTTTTTCGTAAGAAGTTGCGACTTGACACCTGAAAACAAATGATTTGTAACTTTAACATTAACCTTTCCCTAAATTTATTTCCACAATAAACAATCTCTCCCCAGCGCGTATTAGCCCACAACTTCGCAGTATGCCATTGTAGGGGTCTAACTTGTGACCTGCTTTGATACCAATTGTCAAGATTGCCACTACGTCAAAACTTAGAGAGCGGATAGCGAAGGTGAAATTTTATTTCCTTATACTTTCATAGCAGTCAAGCAACATTTTTTATTGCACCGGAAGGCTGATCGACAGATTGTCGGCACCGCATCCCCGCGGCCCGTGACCTGCCCTTTTCCTTCTCATGCTTTATAGGACATTTTTAATAATAAAAAAAACATAAAATTTTAATATAAAGAATGTAAAAAATATATACACCGCTCAACCATCACATCGACCACCTCCCAGCACCGCCACCCCTAATCATCAGGACAAAATGCCAACTGAAAACAAAAGTCATCGTGATGGCAATTCTAAAAATAATATTTTGATATTTTCAAAGAGTAAAACATACCTCTTCAAGATATTCACAAAAAAAGTGACTTTTTTCATAAGATGACACTTTTTCCGGTGATTGAAGGTATAGGGGGTGAAAGATGTAGCGGTAGAGGCCTATATATTTTTTAGATATTTTATTTTAGAGTGAATTCCCTAAATAGGACTAAAAAGTGGCAAAATTGCACAAATAGGACTACATTTTTTAAATTCCCTAAATAGGACTATTTATGTGTGTTTGGACAAATATACCCTTGTAACTTGTGAAATGTTTTAATTAATAATAAAATCATAAAAATAATAATAAAAATCGAAAAAAATACTAAAAATCATAAAAAAAAAATAGAAAATTAATAAAAATATTTTTTTTAAAAAAAATTTTTTTTTTTAAAAAATTAAAAAAAATAAAAAAAATCGTAAAATTAAAAAAAAAAACATTACCACCCCTGCCACCCCCAGCACCACTAGCTCCCATCACCGGAGAAAAATATGCCAACATTTTAAATTATGCCATAATGATGGCATATTCAATGAAAATGTTGGCATATTGAAGAGTAATTATGCCATCTTTTTGGCATTTTCAGAAAAAGATGGCATTTTTTTTACCAAAAGTGGAAGAAATTTCACCAATCGGAGGTGGTGGTGGTGGTGGGAGGCGGCAGGAGGCGGTGGGAAAGGTATCCATAATTTTTTTCATTTTTTTTATGGGTTTTTACTATTTTTTATTATTTTTTAAAAAAAATTAAAAAAATAAAAAATTAAATTTTTTATTTTATAAATTTTTTATAAATTTTTATAATTTTTTTACGTTTTTTAAATATTTTTTACGTTTTTTTATGATTTTATTATGAATTAAAGCATTTCATTAGGAATTAATACTCTTAGGGGTATTTAGGGTAGAAAATCAATGTTTAGTCCTATTTAGGGAATTTAAAAAGTAGTAGTCCTATTTGTGCTTTTAAGGAACTCATTAGTCCTATTTAGGACAATTTCCGTTTATTTTACTTTATTTTAATCTTAAAAGTTTTTATTAATATTTTTTATTCTTTTTCTTGTTTATTTTTATTTTATTTTTACGCTTTTATTACAAATTTATAAATATTTTTTTTATTTTTATGTTTTTATTATAAATAAAATATGCACTTGTTATTAATAAAATAAATCTTATTAGAGATTATAGCCTTTATAGGACAAACGAACAAATGTACTCATATTTTGATAATATATTTTTTTTGAACGCCATATTTTGATAATATTAAAATTGTAATCATTTTAGAGTAATTTTACTCGACATAAAAAAGTATTTCGTACAAAATTTTCCATACAAATTCTTCTTCCTAGTATGTTCCTTTGAATCTAGCACGCGTGTATATTTGAACGGAGTGACACTGCAATCATTGGATAACCCGCCGCCGCGTCTATATAAAACCCATCCGCCTTTTATTCCTTCCTCAATTAACCTCCCTCCCTGCCATGGCTTCCCCACTTCCAATCACTCTCCCATGGCTTCTTCTTACTCTTCACATTCTCCCACTCGCCTTATCCTCACAAACCCAGAGGTCCACTTACATTGTCCACATGGACAAATCCCTCATGCCCACCGCTTTCCCCACCCACCACCACTGGTACTCCGCCGCCGTCGATTCCACCGCCACTCCGTCCGACGGCAAACCCCTCTCTTCCCCCAAGCTTCTCTACTCTTACGACAGCGTTCTTCATGGCTTCAGCGCCTCCTTGTCGGAAGACGAGCTTAACGCGCTGAAGAAGTCCTCTGGTTTCGTTGCCGCTTATAAAGATCGGACCTTTGAGCTTCAAACCACATATTCTCCCGCCTTCTTAAAGCTTAATTCGGAAACAGGGCTATGGCCGGCGTCGCAGTTCGGGGAGGATGTGATCATCGGCGTGATTGATTCTGGCGTGTGGCCGGAATCTCCGAGCTTTAGAGATGACGGAATGCGGGAGGTTCCCAAGAGGTGGAAAGGGATTTGTAAGCCGGGACAGGATTTCGACTCTTCCTTGTGTAACAAAAAGCTCATCGGAGCTAATTACTTCAATGCCGGAGTTCTGGCCGACAAGCCCGGCGTTCAGATTTCCATGAACTCCTCCCGGGACACAAACGGCCACGGCACTCACACGGCATCCACCGCCGCCGGGAACTCTGTAGGTAATGCGTCCTACTCCGGGTACGCCAACGGCACGGCGAGAGGGCTGGCCCCGCGCGCCCGCCTGGCGGTGTACAAGGTCAGCTGGGACGAAGGAAGCTTCAGCTCCGACCTCATCGCCGGCATGGACCAGGCGGTCGCCGACGGCGTGGATGTAATTTCCATTTCTCTGGGCTTCCAGAAAACACCTCTGGCGGAAGACCCCTTAGCAATCACCTCTTTCAACGCCATGATGAAGGGCGTCCTCGTCGCCGGGTCCGCCGGAAACAGCGGTCCCGGTATCGGCACTCTAAACAGCGGCTTTCCGTGGATCTTGACGGTCGGGTCCGGGTCAACAGACCGGTGGTTCGCCGGCACTCTGACACTGGGAAACGGGCTGAAAATCAGAGGCTGGAGTTTGTATTCCGGGGAAAAAACCGTGGAAAATATGAGTCTTCTTTACGATTCATCGATTTCAGATTGCGATTCGCCGGAAGTGGTGAACCCAAACTCCACAATCCTTATTTGCGTCGGGCCTCGAGCCGTAAATGTTTTCTCCAGCCAAATGCAATCCGTCACCGATGCCGGAATATTAGCCACTATCTTCATCAACGACGAACCCAGAATTTTCCGATCAGTTACTAACTTTCCGAGCCCCGGCGTCGTCATTAGCCGTGAAGACGGAAATCAAGTGATAGCTTACGCGAAAAACACCACCAACCCACGAGCTAGCATCACTTTTCATGAAACATTTGCCGGGAAGAAGGCTGCCCCGGCGGTGGATGCTTCTTCTTCAAGGGGACCATCCCCGAGTTACCCCGGAATTTTGAAGCCGGATATATTAGCTCCGGGAGTATTGATCTTAGCGGCTTATCCTCCGAAAGAAAAAGGGGCCGCCGCCGGTTATTATCTGCAGTCGGGGACGTCCATGGCCTGTCCACAAGCAGCCGCGATCGCGGCCCTGCTCAAAGGAGCCCACCCCAATTGGAGCCCTTCTGCAATCAGGTATATTTCCCCACGAAAGATTTCAAAAAAAAAATTAGTCTTAGCATCTGTGCTGCCTGTGCATTTTGTACCAATTTACACAAACCGGCCCGAGTCTTAACATTCTTCTTTGAGTGTTTACAATTTATTCCGGTTTTGGTTTTTAAAGTAGAAATAGAATTAGAATAAATTTTAAGAAGCTAGTTTTTGAAAAACAGCTTACAAGAACATTTTGGAGCATCAAAAGTATTTCTGTCTTTTCACTTAAACACTTAAATAGTTATTTCTGCTTCCTAGTCTTTAAGAAGCAGATCCAAACAACTCTTAGTCTTTTACGGTCAGGAGTTTACCTGCTTAGAATTTTTTACTGATTTGTTACCCAACTTCAATTTGTTTGTCTAAGTTAAAATGAGATACTAAAAGATAGGATGGACTATAAAGATGAGATGATATTGTAGTACTTGCAATTACTAATTCAGAATAGTACTTTGTTCCAAATTAAAAGAGTATGTGAAAATGACAAAAGGATTATGAGACTTGGAATACCAACCATTTTAGCTTTTAGTTTTGACTTTCCTCTCTATCATTGTCATTAGATTTTTGACATTTCGAGCATTTGGAATACAATACAATTGAAATGCATATCATTTCGTTGTCATCACCTTTTATCCTCCTATGATAACACTAAAGTTTCCTTGACTTTCCAATGTGCGAAAATTGCTTTCAGCAAATACAATACAACTAGAAAAACCTTATATGGAAAATGGAGTTCAAGTATAAAAGACAGTTTGGTGCACAAATTAACTTTCCAATTATATTAAAAGTAAATTCTACTTATAACTCAAGAAGACATTTCATGAAAGAATGGTAAATTGTTTTCATCAATCTTACTTTCATAGACAATATAAAAATTCAAAACCTGTTTGTGATGTTGAAATTGTCTGAATAACACTGAAACTAGTTGAACAACACTAAAACTAGTTGAACTATTAAAAAATTAATTAACAAACAAAATTTCATATGAAAACAGATGAAGTGCCCGTTTGGATAATAGCGAGTAGCACCAACCCGCTGAAAATTTGAACTATGAAACACTGCAAAATGAAGCAGGTAGCACCAATCCGCTGAAAAAACAAACGGGGCCGAAATAGTTTTCTTCACCAAAGTCAATCCATTCAATCGTGTACAGCTTATCTTCAACAAAAAGATAAATTAGTTTTCTTCATAGTATAGTTTGTTCATATTGATTATTACAAAAGTTGCCACATAAAATTAGAAATGTAGAGTTTGATAAAAACTTGGTTAATAAAATGAAAATAGACAAAATGTATAAATAGGAGTAATTATATTTTGTTTGAAAAACAAAACTTAATTGATCCTATTAAAAATGTAAAATATCACCCCTGCATGAGTTTCATTTGTAAACTTTATTTCTATTTTAATGTGAGGAAGTTTTCTCAAAATCGAACTTATCAACTTACATGTGTGTATGATCAGATCAGCAATGATGACCACGGCTACAACACTGGATAACACCGGGAACCGGATCAAAGAGTCCGATGACAACTCCGTCGCCACACCGCTGGCCATCGGGTCCGGGATGGTTAACCCGAACAGGGCAGTCGATCCGGGTCTGATATACGATGCCACCCCTCAAGACTATGTGAATCTCCTCTGCTCAATGAACTTGACAGAGAAAGAGTTCCATAGCATCGCAAGATCTTCAGCAACCTACAATTGCTCCAGCCCAGACCCAGACCTCAACTACCCGTCCTTCATTGCTTTGTATCCCACAGGAGGCGAAAACGAGGTTTTCGATTGGTTAGTGCAGACTTTCAAGAGGACAGTCACGAACGTTGGTCCGACGGGTCTAGTTACATATAATGCTGTGATTGAAACTCCCAATAATTCTAACATATCGGTTTCTCCAAGTACTTTGGTTTTCACTCAAAATAACCAGAAAATGAGCTACCATTTGACGATAAGTTACAGAGGTGACGAGAAACATAGCAAGAATGTGGGGTCCATTACCTGGGTTGAAGTGAAGGGAAATCATACCGTTAGAAGTCCGATCATAGTGTCAAACACTATAGAGGTTTGGTGATGAAGTTCTTATGTTGGAGGACTAATACACGGAAATCGCCAAGATAGAAGTAAAAACGTTTAGAAATATAACCATATACATTACACGAGTATGTTATAATCATATGAAATGTGTTTTAACATTATCAGATTTTAAAATGAAAATATATCGTAATGGATGGGAACGTTAATGTCTACATGGGGATGGCAAGGTGTACTGAGCTGCCTTTTTTTAGTTGATATATATGTACGGATTATGTGTAATTCAAAGTCATTTATGTGAATAAAAACAAGCTATGTGACCTCTGTCTGTTATTCATTTTTTATTTGTAGAGATGTATCGAGAATTCGAGATACACTCCCCATTCCCTAATGCATTATAGTCTTAACTTTGTGAATAAATAAAATTCACAGGAAAGCAATGATTATGTAGTGAGGTCAAATGATAAACAGTATATCATCAATCGAATTTGAAAAATGAGACGAACATACTTTAAAAATTCTCTAAACATTATTTACTATAAATATTTGGATTTTGGTTCAAATACAATTGCAAACCAAATGAAAGAAATGGGAACGGCACTATTTTGTCAATTAGATGAACTGATCAAGTCATTTTCATATATTTTATTCATTCTTTGCCAAAACATATAGTCCGCATATTTTATGCATTCACCTTAGAACCTATGCATAGGGCTTTTTAGTGCTTTCTAATGTTTACCACAATGGTGAAAAACTAAAAAAAATGATAGTTTCATAAAAATGTTTTGGGCCAAACTTTGCCATGTTTGATATACCAATAGGAATGTAAACAAAAATTGACCCGCAAGGACTCGTCCTGCCCCGTGACATTTAGGCAGGTTCGGTTCACCCCGTCATGCATATATGGGGTGGGTATGTCCCCCCCACTCAAAGTATAAATATACTTTTTTTTTTATTATATTGCAAATATACATATACGTATAAATGTATGTGTATAATAAACCATGAACCTATGAGTTTTTATATTTGAATGAGATGAACGGTTAATTGTCATTGTCTGTTTTATATTTAGCATTTTATATATTGATTGATTAATATAAATAGATTAACTATTCAAATCTTGGTACTCTTTTCTTAGTTATTGATTTATTATACGGAGCATTAGTTTTTTATAGTTATTTTGATATAAACATTATGTAAACTCAAGTTGTAACAATTTCACACAAATGGAAAAGCATACTAGGTCACTAAGTTATGGCGGGACGGATCATGGGTCATAACTCATCTGGTTTATTCATATTCAATCTTAGACCAAAATTATATAGATCTGGCCTTCGGTCCAATGATTTAGGGAATTTCAACTCGGCTCAACCAGTTTCGGTCCGATCTTAAACCTTTCAAATGAGTTTTTTACAAAAATATTACTAAAATAAAACTTATTTACAAAAATATAACTATTAGTTACTACACTGTAGTGTCATAGTAACTTATGTTCAACTTTTAAACTTAAGTTGTTATGATTTCATTACTACTCTAGTCATTAATCACATTTTTTTAAATAGTCTTCATTTTAGTCATAAATATGTAATTATTTATTTTAATTATTACACATTTTGGAGCGCAAATTCAAAAGTGAAGTATTTGGTAAAAATAAACGACCGATAATGCTGATAAGCCGAAAATATGGGTCACCAAACAAATTCTTAGTGTTATTGATAAGAAGTGTTTTTACATAAATTGATCAATGCGATTAGCGAAAGGGTTTTTTACAAAAATATTACTAAAATAAAACTTAATTACACAAATATGACTACTAATTATTACAATGTAGTGTCATAGTAATTTAGGTTTAAAAATTGAACATGAATTACCATGATTTCATTACTACTCTAATCATTAATCACATTTTTGTAAACAGTCTTAAATTTAGTCGTAATTATTTCTTAGCAAATATATATGAATTGAATATTTGTGAAATAAAATTTCAGTTTTAAATCAATTTCAATTGTATTAATCATATACGAAGTATTATTTGCCAAATGAGGTAAAGAAGTACTTTTTGGATATCATATAATGGATATATTTTAGAACCAATTGCACCAAACTAACCTGATATTTGGGTAATTAGTTACTAGTAATTTAGTATGATCGCACCAAACCAATTGCACAATGAAAGTGGAGGAGAAATTGTTTGTCAAAAACTCCAAAACGCTACAAATCGGAGTATCAAATAAGTGGACTAGTGGAGGATTGATATATTGGAGAGTTACAATCCTACTAACAATCCTAATTTTTCATGATAATCCCTTTGAACACTTTCTACTTTTGTGCTTCCATATAACAAAACACTTTCTACTTTCGTGCTTCCATATAAGTGATATAACAACACCTTAAGGCTTGAGGTTTAAACTTTAAAGCTTAACTTTAGTTTTGATGTTTAAATTGTTGCTAGATTTCAATTTCATAATATTCTTGAATCTCTGAGAAATCTGAATTGGTTCAGTTATTGGGTTCTTGCATATTAGGAATTGTTGAAGATGGAGTCTTGTTCTTAGGTTCAGAGCAGATACCCGACCGGGTATGGTTGGCCACCCGACCGGGTATGTTGAAGCAGAGACCGGGGGATCTCACTGGACGTGAGACCCGACCGGGTCAGTGAAGGGACCCGACCGGGTCAGCGAGGCAGAAGCCTTCTGTTTTGGAAACCCGACCTGGTTTCTACCCGGGTGTGAAATCTGTGAAGGAGACCCGACCGGGTCAAATAAGAGACCCGACCGGGTCAGTCGACGGGATTTTTTAAAACAGGCTTAATTTGGGCCTGCGGCTCTAATCTTGATTTAGGTTTTCTTAAACCTATATAAACGACTCTTAATGTACTTGTAAATATGGTTGGACGCAGATAATAATACATCCTCTCTCTCGTTCGCCGTGGACTAGCGTAATCACCCCGATTGCGTGAACCACGTTAATTCTTGTGTTCTTGCTCTTAATTTATCGTTTATCTTTGCCTAATCGTAACAATTGGTATCAGAGCTATGGCTGACGAAGGGAAGGTTAAGATCGATAAATTTGATGGTCAAGATTTCGCTTTCTGGAAGATGCAGATCGAGGATTATCTCTACCAGAAGAAGCTTCATCAACCGTTGTCTGAGAACAAACCAGAAACGATGACGGAAGCGGAATGGAATTTGTTGGATCGACAGGCTCTTGGTGTGGTGAGGTTGTCGTTGGCGAAGAACGTTGCCTACAACATCGTTAACGAGAAGACAACGTATGGACTGCTCAAGGCGTTATCCAACATGTATGAGAAACCCTCAGCAGCAAACAAGGTTTTCTTGATTAGACAGTTGGTGAATACAAGAATGAAGGAAGGTGCATCCGTGACAGATCACATCAACGAGTTTAATTCAATCATATCCAGGTTAGGCTCGGTTGAGATTAAATTCGATGATGAAGTCCAAGCGTTACTTTTGTTATCATCTTTGCCCGATAGTTGGTCCGGTACAGTCACAGCGGTTAGTAGTTCATCTGGAACCACTAAGCTTACCTTTGAAGGTATTCGTGACTTAATCCTTGGTGAGGATATCCGGAGGAGGAGTTCGGGGGATAGCTCCAACAGTTTGTTGAGTACTGAAGATAGGGGCAGAAAATCCACTAGAGGAGGTAACAAGAAGGGAAGATCGAAGTCGAGAAAGAGAGGGCAATCCAAGAACCGGAAGGACATCAATTGTTGGAATTGCAAAGAGAATGGACACTTCAGAAATCAGTGCCCAAAACCCCCTGCAGACAAAGGCAAGAAGGAGGTGAACGTGGCAGAGGATTATGAAGATGTTCTAATTTGCAGCGTTGAGAATTCAGTTGAGTCCTGGATCATGGATTCAGGTGCGTCGTTTCATGCTTGTCATTGCAGGGATTTGATGAAAAATTTCAGGCCCTACAGCGGAAGAGTTCGTTTAGCAGATGACAAATCCCTGGAGATCACGGGTATTGGAGATGTTGATCTCAGTACCTCTTTGGGTACAACCTGGAGGCTGAAAGATGTGAGGTATATTCCAGACCTGAAGAAGATGTTGATCTCAGTTGGACAGCTTGATGAGGAAGGCCATAACGTTAGTTTTGGCAACAAGCAATGGAAGGTGACAAAGGGAAGGCTGGTCATTGCTCGTGGGCAGAAGCATGGTACACTGTACATGGTTGAAGTGTCCACAGATGGGGCAAACACAGCAGTTGAAGATACAGGGGTCTCTACTTTGTGGCACCAAAGACTTGGGCACATAAGTGAGAACGGAATGAAGATGCTGTCTTCAAAGGGTAAAATCCCAGATTTGAAGAATTCAAAGTTGAGCTTTTGTGAGCCATGTGTTCTAGGCAAACAAAAGAGGGTAACCTTTGTGAAGACAGGGCAGCAACCCAAGATTGAGCGGCTGGAGTTGATTCATTCAGATGTCTACGGACCGACAAAGGTCTCTTCGATTGGAGGTTCCCGGTACTATGTCACATTCATAGATGACTCTACACGGAAGGTATGGGTTTATTTTCTTAAGAATAAATCCGATGTCTTTAACACTTTTAAGAAGTTCAAAGCTGCTGTTGAGAATGAAACAAATCTTAAGATTAAGTGTTTAAAGAGTGATAATGGGGGTGAGTACAGTAGCACAGAGTTTGTAGAGTATTGTGCTGAACAGGGGATCAGAATGCTGAAGACGGTTCCAGAAACACCACAGCAAAATGGTGTTGCAGAAAGGATGAACAGATTACTGAATGAGAGGGCCAGGAGCATGAGATTGCATGCAGGACTTCCAAAGATGTTCTGGGCTGATGCGGTGAACACAGCAGCATACTTGATCAACAGAGGACCCTCATCTCCCATAGGTTTCAAAATTCCAGAAGAGGAATGGAAAGGTCGAGAGGTATCTCTTACTCACTTGAAAGTTTTTGGTTGTATTTCTTATGTCAAAGTTAGAGATGCAAATAGTGACAAGCTCGAGGCAAAGGCAAAGAAGTGTATCTTTATTGGGTACGGGATGGATGACATGGGCTACAGGTTCTGGGACAACCACAGCAAGAAGGTTATCAGAAGTAGAGATGTCACTTTCAACGAGAATGCCCTGTATAAAGATGGTCTTGTAGCAGAAACTAGCAAAGCCAAGCAACCAGAAAACAAGCAACAAGTGGTGTTTGACGGGATGACTGAAGATGACATAGCACAACCTGTTGGTTGTGATGAGATGACTGGAGGTTCAGGGAGCAGTGGGAGCTCAGGAGATACAGGAATGTCTGAAGATAGTGGGAGTGATGAAGATGGTGAAAATTCAGAGGCAGCTACTCCTCAAGTC